CACTTATCAGTTTCAGCAGCAGCGGACTTGGGGAAGCGGGGGCAGAGTAGCTGGGGTGCTCTGCCCCAGGGCTTCCCGAAGTCCACCGCTGCTGAAACTGACCAGTGGCGGATTTGGGGAAGCCGGGGGCAGAGCAGCTCCAATTGTCTGGTTGGCCGGAGCACTTCCGGGTTCCAGTTGGTGCCGGACTATCAGGAGTGCTGGACCACTGGATGCTAGACAATTCGAGTTTTACTGTAACATCTTCAATGCATACTTCAGCAGTTACATGTTCAACTTTTTGTGGATGCTTATAGTTTCTTATTTCTGGTTATGTGACAAACATATATTATCTAATATTCATGATTAAAATTTATAATCTACAAGAAGATATTTAGAAGACTTTAAACTGGAAGATTAAAAGAGATTAGGGGTGGATGACGGAGAAAATACGCAAATCATATTTAAAATTAAAGCTGTTATGATTTTAAGGGAGGACTAGACAGGAACAGAGAAAGAACTGAAGCTAAAAGGTTAAGATCAGGATTAAAAGCATAAAGCTGCAGATTTAAGTGCCCATTTGTGAATTTTTAACTTTTTCATTTGGAGATGATGCTTTTATCTTCCTCCAGGCACCTCTTTTTTCCCCCTTCTCATTACCCTCATTGCATGGACACCAAAGCAATCCCAATGTACATCATTAAATCAGGCAGATTAGATTTTAATTTGCAGAATACTAGAGTAAAAATCTCACATTTTCATTTCCCAGAAGCTGCCTAGATGTGCCACAAAATACGCCATTGGTTACAGAGAACTTTGAATCCTAGCTCTGCAGGATTCAGATCAAGGACAATGTGTGTCTGAGGGAACAGCGGGGCCCAAAATATTTAACATTCAGAATGGAGCAGATGATTGACAGAGGATCAGATGAACTAAACTGAATTTTCTCCACTTTATTCCCCCAAAATTTCAACATGGGCCAAGTTCTAGGCAGTAGACTAAAAGGTGAGCAAAGGCAGTTTTGCTTTACATGCAAATATTGATAGACTAAGAGGTAAAATTGTTAACTCTAACCATTCAAGATGCCTGCTGAGATATGCCCCAGATTCAGATACCTTTGACCTGGGCTGTGGGGGAATTTTCTCTCTGTGTGAGTTAAAGGGAAATCCAGATTTCCAATAGCCTAGGATAAATATTTCATGTGCCTGCGTCATTTACAAGAGATTGATATTTGCCAGAATATCAAGAATTCACGTTGTTTATATTCACTAAGCTTCCAGGAGGTATTACACAATTAATTAAAAATGACAAACTATAGAAATTCTGAAATTAAATATTAACATCTCCATTATTTTTTTTCAATTCTTTATTTAGTACCAAATGTTACCATACCTTTTACTGTGCCCCTATTGCAATCAGAAATGCAAAATTAAATTGTATTCTTCTGTGTAATGTCTTGGAAGAAATGTATAAATTCCTACACATAAATTGATTTTTAGTTCATTTTACTATATTGCATACATTTACAGACTAACTGAATCCTAGATATTCTTTAGTTCATAAAAATAGTGAAAGAATTAGGGCTTATTTCAAACACATACCAAAATGCCACTTGGAATAAGCAGAGGAATGATTCGCATTGGAGCCTCAATGGAATTTTGAATAGCATGATATTACTTCACATTTTGTCCTGAAGCTTATAAACACCCACAGAGACTAATTCAATTATTAAAATGATGAGCATAGGTAAGTGTAAATGACAAAGGAGAAGAAGATGCTAAACAATCTTATTTTTACTGGGTGATCTAATCACAGCCACATCTGATAAGGGCTACTTTCCAAGTTTTGGCAGAATGAAATTAATAAATGGTTTGTTAAGCATCAAAGTTATCATATTTTAAAGAGTAAACAAGGGCTTTAAATTGAAAGCACCAGACAACAGAGTTCTTCAAATCAATGTCAGCATACCCAGTACCACCCACTTCCCCCTCTACCACCATGCATGTATGCAAATTCATTATCAAAGTGCTCCAGAAGTACAATATAAAGCCAAGGAAGTGGTATTTTTTTCCAAGCAGAGATCTAAGCAACATCAACAGTGGTAATTAGATTTCTAGCACTTGTTAAATCTTGCATGTAATTTTTCTATTAATGAGAATTTTTACACAATAGCTGTGGAAAAATAGATAAGGAATCATATAAAAAGGTTTAGAATCATATTTTAATTCACTGTTAAGTCATTTCCAGAAACTGGATCTTTATTCTGAAATTCTCTAAATAAAACTGTTATCTTGGTTACAGAACATTTCTAAAAAATCTGAATGTGAGTGAAAAACTATTGCAAGCAATCAAAAATAGGAAGATATATGTAAAACAGGCTGAGGAGTTCTTTATGCCTGCAGTCTAGGGATATAACACTGATTTATGAAATGTCCAGGACCAAACTGCTGAGCTCAAGGGGAATTGTGGCACAGACTTCAGGGAAAGTAGGATTTTACTAACCACTAGTAAATTATATTGTAAGATATCAAGGTTCTGATTTTTGAAGGAGCTCAGCTCCTACAACTCTAACGGAAGTCAACAGGATCTGTAGGTGCTCAGCACCCCTGTAAATCAAATTGTAAGTAGTTTAGAACAGGGTGGGCAATAATTTTTAGGGGAGGGGGGGAATCCACACATTTTTGAAGTGGCCCCAGGCCGCCCCGGAAGAGACAGGGGCTCAGGCAGATGGGACAGGGCTAGGATATTTCAATGCACCCTTGCCCAGAGACCCTGATTGGCCTAGGATCTGGGGGCGAGTGTGTAAAGTCTTTGCCCCCCGCCCTCCGCCCGCACCTAGAAAGAACCGTCAGCTGTTTTGAGCAGATGGCGGTTCCCTCTAGGCGCCATGCACAGGAGGAGACTTTGCAGAGGAGTGCGTGAAGTCTCATTCCCTGCCTCCACCCTGCAAGGAGCGCGCAGCATTTAGAGTGGACCACCCATTCAAAACAGCTGGCAATTCACCCAAAGCACTGTACACTGGGAGGAGACATCACTTTCTCCTCTGTCCCCAGGTCTTGACTGGCCTGGGGGCAGGGGAGCAGCAGAGCGTCCGCAGGCCGGATCAGCCCACCTGGGTGGCCGGATCCAGCCCACAGAGGCTCTCTTGCCTACCCCGGTTTAGAAGCTCATTCCAGGCTATGGTGGACTTCATAACTCCATGAAAAAATAACAGATTTCACTAATACAGCACGAAGCATGAGGCTATGTGTTACTGAGGGACTAGGATGCTTTTCTTGTTGGACTACAGATATAGAGAATATATCAATATTGAGCAAACCAGCTGAGCTTGTCTGATGTGTTGCAGAGTCAGATGGCCTAGACCTTGGAAAGAAAATCAGCATCCCCAGAGACATCATGGTGGAGGAACTATCAATGCTCAGCAACAGAGGTGCAAGACTATTTAAGATGCGTCAAAGGAGATCTGACAAGTACACCTATGAAAACTATCATTATTTAGCAAATAAGCAAAGGAATGTGAGTATTTTGTATTACAAGTTTCTAAATAAAGTATAATGAGACCGGTGTGAAATTAACTATGATTTGCATGATACTGCTTGCAAGAATTATCAATAATTTTAGGAAAAGATGTGAACTCAATGATGACCTGGAACAAGGCCAGTCATTGGAGCTGTGTCATTTGAGATTTTCTAGACAAATTAAAAAGGCTCAGATCAGGGTGCTGCTTTTAGTCTGGCCCATCCTGGGAGCAGTGGGACAGCCAACACAGGCTGCCCTAGGGATGGAGCTGGCTCCCGCATTAGGAAGGCAGGATTAGGGACCCTCTACGGGTGGGGTGGGTTCTTGAGTGGCCTAGAGGATAGGGCATTTTCTGGGGAGCACAGGGTTGTTCCGCAGAATGGAACAACAAGGTTCCAGGGCCTTACATGGAAAGGATTCACATCGAAATCTGATTAAGGTCAGCAGTGACCAAAAGTCATTACCATGTGACAGCTAAGTGATGATTTAGGAATGGGCAAGGATTGCAGCTGAGATCTTTAAAGATACAAAGTTCTGTATAAACAGCAAGTATTAATATTATTATTGTTATTATTACTATTTGGTGGCTTTATTCCAATTTGTAGTCAGTAACAACACCTGTGCAATTGGCACTAATAGACTTCCTTGCTGGCATTCTCAGAAAAGGGATAAAGGATTAAATGAGCCATGGGGACAGACCTGCCTCTTCAAGTGGCCCTTAAGAAACAACGTTGAGGCACATTGGTAGGGTGGTGGGAATTGCAGAGTAGGAATTAGATGCTCCTATGTTCTAATACTGGCTTTGACATTCATTCCTTCTGTGGCCCTGGGTAATACACCTAATCTTTCTGCCTCATTTTCTGCATTTGTAGAAATAGCGATAATTATATTTATAGATTCATCTAGCTCTCAGGTGAGTTGTGAAGTTTAATTAGGGCTCTGTCCTGCAAGGTTCTGAGCATTTCAATCCCAATCTAGGAAAACACTTAAATGCATGCTTCACTATGAGTGAATAGCCCCACTAACTCAGGACCCCACTCAAGTCTGTGTCTCAGTTCCAGCCATACTTCCCCAGTGATTTCAGTTATGAAAGCATGTGACAAAGGATCAGAATTTGTCCCAGCATCTTTAAACTGCTTTGAAGATGAAGAGAGCTGTATCAGTATACAGAAGTATAATTATTAATAATTAACCTAGAAAACATTTATTGGTAAACAGAAATGCCCATCCATCAACAGATTTTAAAACTTAATTTAAAAGACTGGCTCTAATGCTTTAGTGGCCAGTCCAATTGTTATTAAATCAAGACTTCCATTGCCTTCACTAGGAGCTGGATCTGATTCTTCATTTGGGACAAGTAAAATTATATATATGCTATTGGTGTGATGTAGTATAATATTTTCATTGGCATGAGTATGAGAGGAGCTGCACATTACTCAGGAATTTCAGAGGGGTAGCTAAGTTAGTCTGTAATAGGAAAAACTTAAACAACTAATAGTCTAGTAGCACCTTAAAGACTAACAAAACAAGAGTGGCAAAGCATCAACTATCCAGGAAAACTCTATATTGTACCTCAGCATGTATTTTGTTCTGAGAAGCTATTTTAGCAATTCTTTTAAAGTTGTAATCATGGGGGGAGAGTCGGGTTCTACAGTGAAGCCAGGACTATGAACTGGTCTCAGAGTAACAGAATTATTAGTACTAATAATTCATCAGAAAAAAATGCAATAAAAAACAGTATCATCTGCTGGATTCCAACAATCTTTTGACCAGTTCATAATAAAGAACTTTGGGTAGCAGACCAGTAGAAAAGCCTTTCCTATTTTCCACTGCCCATATTAATCAGAATGCTTAAGTAGCCCATGGCAAAAAGATAGTTTAAGGTTATATTAATGTTCAGGAGTTGAAATCTTCAATATCATGCCTGAACTCCCCACGATCTTGCTTTGTTACCTCTTCAAGGAAGAAATCTTAGCTCTGTGATGGGTTGTTGCTCCTGTCTTTTTAACTCAATAAATGGACTTTGCCCAGAGATAAGAATCTGTTTCAATATCCTGTCATATACAGAAAGATAAGATTTTATATACATTTTTGTGATGAGTAGAAGGAAAACAGCTGGTAACTGGAGCCTCCCAATTTTAATTCACTCAGTCAAAATTAAAATGAGGATTAGGGCCAAGTTTCGATGTACCAGAAGTGCTGATTTCCAAACTTACTGAATGCTCAGCATCCCTGAAAATGAGGTAATTTATTTACATCTTAAATATAGATACAGATGGGATTTTCAAGGGCACTCACCAGTGTCCTAGCTGATTCTACTAACCTCAATAGTAGCAAAGTTATCTGAAAGCTGAACACTTTAAGAAATCCTACCCTAAAGTGTCTGATTTTAATATTGACCTCCCATAAGTGTCTGTTTGGCCAGCAGTTACGTTGCCTTGATCCACTCCATGCCTTACACTGGAGTGGATGATTTTATCTGTTATGATTAAAGTGATCTTTCCAATGTACCGTAAGAGCATTCTAAAACATAATAATATGATCAAAATATTTCCTTTGTTTCAAGTTTACAAAAAAGTATGTGTTTGTTTTTTTCTATCTTAAGGAAATCCTATTCCAACACACTCTATATTTAAGCTTCTTGTAGACTGTGTCATTGCTAAAATAAGTTACTGTTTTTTTTATAAGCCTCTGATTCCGTAGTTAAAGAAAAACAACAATTAAAGCTCTGGATGTTTTCTTAAAAGCCATGATCTGATGAGTAGTGTGGATAACTCCAGCCTATCAAAAATCCCTAAGATGGCTTGCAATGAGGTTGTTGTGACTACTACAAAACAAAACAAAAAATCAGTCCCACAAAGGAGTACAGACTTTTTGCGTGGCTGATGCATTTTCAATTAGCATACAAAAAGTATCTCCAGAGAATCAATGGCTTTTACATTATCTTACCAGATTGCTTGAATCCTAGGATAGGAAGGATGATGTAGAGCAGTATTTCTCATTCAGTGGGGTTA